AGAGAGGGAACACAAGCAGGGGGAGTGGGAGAGGGAGAAGCAGACTCCCTGCCGAGCGGGGAGCCCGATGCGGGACTCGATCCCAGGACCCTGGGATCATGACCTGAGCTGAAGGCAGTCGCTTAACCAACTGAGCCACCCCTCCGCGACCCACTCTTGCGCGGTCACCTGGACGGGGGTCTAGGGTACTGAGCCGGGGTCTTTACCGTCCGGAGGCAACCAGCTCCGCTCGAGCCCACTGGAAGCCGTCCGTGCACTCAGAAATAGAAACTATGCCATCAGCCCCGCGGCCCCCAGTCATTGCCCAGGACATAGCGTGAGGACAGCAAAAGCTAATGGGGAGAAGGGCATTAGTTAAAAAATGTCCTTGCCGGAGGACAGACTTTACTTTCTATAATGCATCGTAAGGATGAAATGAAGACACGTCTGAGAGAAATTATTCCCTACCTGTGATTTGGAAATACTTCTGGGGCCCATCTGCAGAAGTCGGGCTCCAGGGAAGGGGCCTTAATGCTTACGGCCCCCGGGCCCCGTCCAGCCTCCTCCCTGAGGTTTGACCACTCCTGCTGGTTGGTGGCTTCTCCCTGACGGTGTGTGAGCGCGGGGCAGGCACCTCAGGACAGGTCGGTCAGGAGAGCCGGGAGCCCAGCCCCTACAGGATAGCAGGTCCTGATGCATGTGTGTTTGGGACAGCCCCGGTGACAACCTCGTCCCAGCCGCCAACTTCCTGTGCATGGGACGGAAGGAAGGGGACAGCCCAGTGGGGCGGGGCCTGGGGAGGGAAATGCCCCGTCCCCCTCACACCTTGGAGTGCCAGGAGCAGGGGAATGAAGAAAGCCAGGAGCGACAGGGTCCACCGTGGGGGTACCTGCTGCAGGGCTGAGCCCAGCCCACTGCCATTCTTAGATGCCAGAGGATTTGGGGGTCTCTTGTGCCAGTGGCTTCGTGTTCCATGCTCGTCACGCAGCCATGAAGTAGAAATGTCCTCCTCCTGGCACACGGGGCAGGAGAGGCCCATCCCGGCCCAGTGCAGGGCCTCCGACCTGGGGCCTGTCCAGGCCCAGTCCCGGTCACCCAGGACCCTCCCAGGCCCAAAGAATCTGCCTGCCAGGCCCGCATGGTGGGCCCCAAAATATACCGGCCTGGCGCCTGCTGTGTACGCCAGGCCCTGCCCCCTGCCCGGCCCCTCACCCGGAGATGGCCACACGGCCAGTGCTCTGGGCAGCAGGGCTCCAGCACCCCGGGCCCACGTGGCCGCCCGTGGCCCCAGCTGGCTCAGTGGCAGAAGCTGCATTCCAGAGAGGCCACGGGAAGGGTTCTCTCTAATCCTGGCTTCGTGCTACTGCAAAGGGTCTTTCTGTTCTTCACTTCTCAGGAGAGACCTCCTCCTCCTCCTGGGGATGCGAGCCCCACTGCCCTGAGAACTGCCGGCCCGTCAAACAAGGTTGCGCCCGGTTCTCGGATGTCCGCCTTGGGCCCCCACCGCCCGGGTACAGCCCCGTCCTCTTCCTCGACGGCCTCCGTGAGGTAGGGGCAGGGAGATCCCCCCCGCCACCCCCGCCATGGCTCAGCCCGCACACTGCCCAGCGCCGAGCCATGGCACCCGGGAGCCCCTCTGAGCCCTCCCCCATCACTCCTTCTAGGAGGCAGACTGCAGGCCCAGAGGCAGCCTGGGCCCCGGGAGGACGATGCCCGCCGTGCAGGACCCGCCAAGAGGCAGCAGGTAGGAGAGGTTGACCGACTCGGGGCGTTTGTGGGTGTAGCCTCCCAGGTGCGTGCAGGCAGAGGTCAGGGTGCCCGGGGGCTGCAGGTGCTTCTGGGGCCTGGACAGCAGGAGAGGCCGGGCTTGCCGCCTCACAGGAGCCCAGCCCTGGTCCAGTCGGGCTCAGATAGGCCCGAGGTGGGCAGAGCAGGACGGCCTGCTTCTTCACATAATGCCAGTGGTGGGGAAGCTGCGCCGGTCCTTCCTCCGGGGCCGGCTGGGCAGAAAGGGATACTCCTCGGGCGTGCGCAGAGGCCGGGAGGGGCCCACAGCGCGGGCAGAGCGTTCCTCACTGTTGCGTGCCAGGCGGCCACGGGCTCACTACACGCCAGCCACATGCCTGTCACAGGCCCGGGGTCCCCAGCGGCCTGTTCTGCAGCAAAGCAGACCCACTGGACAGGGCTGCGTGCCCCACTGTGGGGGCTGAGGAGCCCACCCTCGTCAGGACCGTGTGGCCCGACTGAGTTCACTTCGCTCCCCCTGGGGCTCCCCCAGCAGCTGGGAGCCGTGGAGAGCTGGCTGCAGCACCATGGGCCACACACGGGGGTGCAGAGCCCCCGCCCCCACCCCCCCTCCCCCCAAGCAGAGCAGACCTGAGGCTACAAGCAGGACGTCCTGACTGTGGCGCGCCGACCCTGAGAAAAATCACCTGCTCTTGAAAGACAGGAGCCCTCCCTCGGGAGACAGGGCGCACGGGGCCCAGCGTGGGCGGGGCGGGGGACAGCGTGGCCCCTCGGCGACGGGGATGGGTGCCAGATGCCCACCTGCGAGCGAAGGCAGGCCTCTGACGGGCGCGTGTGGTCCCATCTCCCCAGGGGCCGAGGCGCCCGCGCTCGGGGCGCACCTCTCTCTTCACCCGCCAGCCAGGGGGCTGCAGAGAGAGCCACGCTCGTGGGCAGAGGCCTGTGGGCATAGACCCGATGACGAAACTTGAGGAAACTGAGAAATCCAGGAGAAATGGGAAGAGGGCCGCCACAGCCTGACGCCTTCCCGCAGTGAGATTGCTCATCGCTGACGCCAGTGGGCGTGGGCTGGGCCGGGACTCCCGGAGGCTGGCACCGTGTCGGCCGGCTGACAAGCCTTTGATCCCGCTCACGCGGCAGAGCCAGGACGCGCTGTTTCCCGGGGAAGGTGCCTCCCTTGCGTGTGGCTCTGAGTCATGGTGTGTGAATTAACTATGAGGCCCGCTCTGCACAGTAACTAGAGAAGCAGAGACGTGGGAAAAACGGCCAAGATCTGCTAAACGTGGAGACGCCGCGGCCACCCAGTGTTTCAGTGGCAGGAACGCATGTGCGGACCAGAAGCGGACACAGCCGCCCACAGCCCCGGGCTCCGGGCTCAGGGCTCCAGGCTCGGGGCTCGGGGCTCCGGGCTCCGGGCTTGGGGCTCAGGGCTTCAGGCTCCGGGCTCAGTGCTCAGGGCTCCGGGCTCCGGGCTCAGTGCTCAGGGCTCAGGTCTCAGGGCTCAGGGCTCAGGGCTCAGGGCTCCGGGCTCAGGGCTCAGGGCTGTAACAGTGGCAACTTCGAGCAAACAGAAGGCCCTCGCTGTCCGGTCCCTCCTGAGGAAAATGAGGGAGGGGTCCGACTGGGGTCCTCGTCGTGGGGGAGTGACAGTCCCAGGAAGGCACGTTTGTGTGTGGAATGCTCCGCATCTCTGTGAGTGAGCTTTGTGAGCTGGTGACATGGCCGTGACGCATTCTTGCCCCCATCTGAGGTTCGTGGGGGCTGTTGCCCCTTCTCCCTGGGAAGCCCGAATCTCTGGGCAGCCCAGCTGATGACTTCTGCATATAAGAAGCCTGGACAGATGGTTTTCATGGTGAGCTCCAGTGGATCTCGTGACTTGGGGGGGCACATTTGCAGGCACAGGTCTGAGCCTTGTTGTGGCTGTAGAGCGCCCCCCTGAGCCCCCTCCCCTGCCCCTGTCACAGGGTCTGTGTGGCACGTCACCTCTCTCAGACCCCACCACCCCCACAACTGCCTTCAGGGCCCCCTGCTCTGTGCCCCCGAGTCCCCCTACCCATCTGGGTGCCTTGTGGTCCCCCGGCCCCATGCACAGAAGAGTGAGGGGGAGCCTGCCCAAGGCCCCCAGCATCGGCCCCAGCACCCCCTACCAGCTCTGCTGTGGGGACACGGGGTGTCCCGATGTCCCCCCACCAGCCTCCGACTCTGGTTCGGGCACCAACTCCCCACATCAGCGTCCAAACCTGGCTCTTGACCCCCAAAGCCCACCTTTTGGAATTCTAAGAAAACCATCCTTCCTAGCAACCCAGGCTGACTCTGGCAGGTCAGAAGGCCTGGACTTCACACTGGGTCTGGTTGGCCGTGAGGAACCCCCACCGGGTCTCGGCCACGTCTCAGATGTGTGGTGGCCCTCCGGACCACCCCTGGGGTCACCTCCACGTGAACGAGACAGGGCCAAGGGAACGAGATGCTCCTGACGCTCTGCGAGCCCACAGCTGCCAGGACCCACGGGGGAGGGAGCATCTGGGAGGGGCTCTGGCAGTTTCCTGCCACAGGCCAGCCCCCACCCAGCACGCAGCCACCGCCTTCCCCTCCCGAGGGGCCTGCGATGCCATCTCACACACACCTTGGCCTCCCGGGAAGGCCACCACTCGGACCCCACCTTCTGTAACGGGGAGCGGGCCAGTGGTGGGGTGCGGGCCCCGTCGGCTCTCCCCACAGGTCCCCCCCAGACTGCGTCAGGCCAGCTGGGCATCCCAGCCTGGCATTCTGCATTTCTGCCTGTGGGTTTGCAGCCTGCCTCCCAGTCTAGACAGAGCCCCCTGGAGGGAGTGGCCGTGGGGGGAAAAGGCTGGGAGGGGGCGGCCCCCCCAAGCCCGTCTCCCCCTATGGCAACAAAGGGGCCGCGCCCAACACAGCCCCAGGGATGCAGAGCCGAGGGCCCTGGTACCACTACCCCAGACCACGGGCTCTACCCACTTCCTCTCGCCCCCCAGCGACTCCAGAGCCTCCGTCCTTTCCAAGTTCCCAAAGTTAAGAATTTCCGTGGGGCCAAGATGGGGGTGTGTGCAGATGGCTTCCACACCCAGAAACCCACCACACACTGCCCCCCTCCCAGTGGCCAGCGACCAGGGGCGCAAAGTGGTCTGTGGGTGTTGGCAGCGGGTTCAAGAACTCCCACGGGCAGCGGGACGGCGGCACCACTGGGCTGACGTGACTGTCCCAGCCGTGCGTGCGTGGGTGTCAGACCCCGAGGTTGGAGAGGGTGGGAGAAGCAGTCCAGGTGGCTGCCATCCCACCTGGGGTGACCCAAGTGGGGAGCAAGGGTCTGTGGGAGCGGTCACGGGGGCTGGGCTGCGGGCCTGGGGCACAGCACCCGCAGACACAGGCCGTCTGTCCCACAAGAGCACCTCGGACGTACCCTGAGCCCCCTGCGGCCCCACGGACAGGAGTCACTTCTAACGTGCTCCAGGGCCCTGGGAAAGGACAGGTCTCGCTGAGCCTCCAGCCGCCTGTCAGCTGTGGACCCTTGTCTGTCCCCCCCTCCCTGATGACCCCTCAAAGCCACAGTAAACCACGCGCTTGCTCATCTACTCACTTTGCCCACAGAGCAGCCCATTATTACCATCCGGGAGGCTCACACAATAGAAATGATTGAAAAAGATTAAGAGGGACTCGCCACCCTGTAATTTTGGAGCTTGGCAGAGGTTTTAATTTACATAAGAAGGGTAGAGCATTCCAGAGGAATCCTTTGCCTCTTGTTACAACTTCCAGACATAATTCTGCATTATCTTCACTGTCTAAGAATCACCTTTGTGCATTTTGGTGGAGGGAAGGGTCGGTCAGGCGCCGTGGCCACTGGGCGTCTACCCTCCAGCACACATGCTCTGACTACTTATTCTTGGGGGGTGTGCCTGCCCAGGGAAGGGGGCACTCAGGGGCAGCCAAGTGCTAAGGGTCCCAGCCCCCGGCCCACGCGGGGCCCCTCGCCACACAGACCCCCACCCAGCCACGCTTGGCAGAGTCCCAGGCTGGGAGGGCCCTGCATGTGCCTGACAGGGAAGGGGCCTGCTGAGGTCCTGAGCCGGGTCCTGGGGTCCCAGAAGGGGTGTGGCCCTGTCTGACTCCATTTCCCCAGGGAATGGCATGAATTGGGGCCCTGTCTTCTCCACTATCTCAGAGCCTGGGCCCTGAGTTGCTCCCTCCTCAGGCTCAGGTGGGTCCGCAAGGCCAGCCATCTCCTGCAGGGTGAGGCAGCCTGTGGATGGGGCCCCTCAGTGTGGACCCAGACTGGGCGGGTCGGCAGATGGCCGCGGGAGTTGCGAATCTACTCCATCCCTGCGGCAGAGTGTGGCAGTGGCCCAGCCAGGAGCCACGAGGCTGCTTCGCTGTGCCCACGGCCTGGGGCCAGGCTCCGTCCCGAGGGCCCCGGGGGCCTGCGGCTGTGCTCCGCGGGGCCCGGCCAGGCCTGGCAGCAGAAGCTGCGCTTTCGGGCTCACACCCAGCTCTGGCTCTTCACCGGCCGGGCCTGCCCCACCGGACCCCGCACCCCGCCGGGGCTGGCACCGCGAGCCTGTCCTCTCTGGGTCCCCGCTGACGGCGGAGCATTGCCCGGCCTGCCGCTCTTCCCCGGGAGAGCCCAGCTTCCACCGCAGCTTCTCGCTGCTTTCCTGCGGAGACATTCCTGGCACATCACGGAGTTTCACAACATGACACAGAGGCCTGTCGGTTCCTGAGTGATGTGAGATCCTGTCAGCTGCAAAAGATGGAGTCGATTTTGGAAATGTGGCCGTGAGCTTGCCCAGCCACCCATGAGAATTCCATCGAACAGGGCACTCGCCCTCCCCGAAACCCTAAATGTGTGCTCTGTAGTAGGACAGCACAGCGGCCCGCGGCCCCACCCGCCGAAACACCACCCCTCAGCCTGCCGTGCGTGAGGCCCCGGGGGCGACCTCGCCCCTGACCGCTCGTTGCCGGCTCAGCACAGGGCCAGCCGGAGCCTGACGCGTGCTGGCCAGCACGGCCCCTCCCCTGCTCACTCGGAGAAAAATGGGTTTAATTAAGACTTCCGTGATTAGTCATTTAATCAGTCATCAGGCCAACACAGATGGAGCCAATTAATGTTTTTACTTGAATAGATAGTTGGGGCTGGCAGCCCATCCGCGCAGGGTCGTGCAGGTGACCGCTGAGCACCTGACGCAGGCCCCCATCCCCTCCATCCTGGGCTCCTCGCTGACCCTGCCCCAGGGACACAGGTCCACGAACCGTCCCCCCTCGTCTGCCCTGGGGCCCGGGCCCTGTCCTGTCCACCCCTGGCTGGCCTCACCATGACCCAGAGATGCTCTGGGAGGGGCCTCCAGGGTCAGCGGGACAGGCTCACGGTGCCAGCCCCGGCGGGGTGCGGGGTCCTGTGGGGCAGGCCCGGCCGGTGGAGCCAGAGCTGGGTGTGAGCCCGAAAGCGCAGCTTCTGCTGCCAGGCCTGGCCGGGCCCCGCGGAGCACAGCCGCAGGCCCCCGGGGCCCTCGGGACGGAGCCTGGCCCCAGGCCGTGGGCACAGCGAAGCAGCCTCGTGGCTCCTGGCTGGGCCCGGCCGGCAACTGGCACGGCCACAGGCCTCCCACCGCACCACGGCATCTCTGGGGGCCAACTCTGGGTGTACCCCACCCTCTCCCTCCACTCTGGGCCCTACACAGGGCTCAGCCCAGGAGGCTGGGGCAGGTGCTTTGAATTGAATCCCCAATGACCCAAAGAAACCCCACAGGAGGGGGCGCCTGGGTGGCTCAGTCAGTTAAGCGGCTGCCTTCGGCCTGGGTCATGATCCCAGGGTCCTGGGATCGAGTCCCACATCGGGCTCCTTGCTCAGCAGGGAGCCTGCTTCTCTCTCCCTCTGCTTGTCCTCCCTCTGTCAAATAAATAAAATCTTTCAAAAAAAAAAAAAAAGAAACCCCACAGGAGGTCCGGGGTGAAGCCCACAGGCCCCTCTGCCCCCAGGCCTCCCCCCCAAGCCCCTTCTGCACAGGCAGGGCCCTCCAGCCTTTGGTATGTGCTGGCCCTCCACTGGGTTGCAGCCTGCGTCACCAGGGAGTGTGTCAGGGGGCTCTTGGCGCGGGTCTGCTGCGGCGCTGCGGGGAGGGGCGGGTTGATCTCAGGTGGGCCCTGGGACAGCCCCCCGGGGGTGAGAGCTCCCAAGACAAGAGGGCGCCGTGTAGGGGGCTCTGGTCCCCGCTGCAACCTGCCGCCCTTCCCCTGGCCACGGATCCCTCACAGAGTGGGCTCGGTCTCTGCCGCCCCGTCCGGCAGCTGGCAGCTCCTCTGTGTGTGTTCATGGGAAACAGGAGA